GCCTCAAATATGTACAGAACTACCTGAGGGGCATTTTAACGCATTTGCAGATTTTAGACCAGTGTGTCATGCGGAAGTAATGCAAGGCCGAGCTGCAAGGACTTCCATTCTATTACCCACAGTTTAATTTTCAAGCCTTCACAGACACACACACACTGTGTTTGCATTGATTCTTTGTCCATAGATCAGTTGTTTCCATGATGTAATGGTTTTAGGCTCCATGTTGTGGGGTTGCATTTGTTGCTTTGCAATCTGTTCAAATCCAATCATGGTTGACGAGCCTCCTGAGAGATCGGTGAAAGGCAGACAAGTTGACCTAATCATCCCCCGGGTTCAGTTGTTGGTTTTTTGAAAAGGTTTTAACAAGAGAGGATCCCTCTGGAGCATTATATCGCACTTCTGAGATCAATTGTTGAGATCCAATTAATTGCGTGAGCTTGGCGTGATGGCATTTGTGGAGCCAGCGCACCTCGAAGAGTTCTCAGCTGTCGTACAATATCTCTCCTACCTCCGTAATGCATCACACAAACCCACCCCCACCCCAAAGCTTGTGCATATTGATCTTTTACAAATGCCCTCCGATTCTCGACCAAAGAGTGGCATGCTGCAATCAGTTGTGTGAGCAGCATCATAAATGAGGTTTTGGGGGTGGGGTGGAGGTGGTGGGGTGTTTGGAGAGAAATGGGTTGAGAGGCTGCACGCATTACATTGAGGGAGAGAGAGGGGGAGTAGGGAGGTGTGTGACGGGGGAGGGTGGGGGGAGATGGTGTGCGTTGGAGGAGGAGGAGGAGGAGGAGGAGGAGGCGGAGGAGGAGGAGGGGTGTAGTGCTGCAGTGGAGAGAAGTGAGAGGAGACTGCAGTCTCTGTTTATGGGAGAGATCAGACTATGTTGCCACAGCTCTGAGGAGCCGGAGCCCAAACAGTGACTGATATTGGATGGGCCGCCTGGTGAAGGGGAACGCCTTATCTGACTGGTGAGTTTATTGTTTTTGGGGATATTTTTGAAATTGAGGCTCAAATGTGTTTGACATGTAGGGATTCAAAAATGTCCAGCAGATGTAGAACATGGCTATGAGAGATGATCTGTTCTGCACGTTCAAAACTAAGTCGGTGATGATAAACTGTAGCATTGTGACCGCACGCTCTGCATCTGAACATCATGTGGAATCAGGATGTGTCTGGGACTGGGATGAGCTGCAGAAATCAAAGACATATAGGGACAGAGTGCTAATGGCACAGACGAAAACACTAAAACAAATGACTGTGTTTTAGTGTATTTGCATTCAGCCTCTGTCCTCGGCACAGGGAGAACATGCTGAGCTATGGAAGTTAGAGACTTGAGTTATGTCTCTCTGTGTTTCTCACAGCTGCTGACATGTTTCATCTGTGCTGATTGAAGGTGATGATTCTCTGAGTGATGACACAGACACGAAACAACGTCACATTTCTAGGAGGGACCCCTGCTGCAGCTCAAACTTTAATCATAATCATCACGAATCACATCGTGAGTGTATACCCAGCGCGCAGGCAATGACTTGACACTGGCCTTGAGCCAATTGGTTATTTGATTGGCTGGTCACCTCAGCTATAGGCAGGTTGATGCGGGTAGTTCTGTGTAGCTGATAGACACTATCAGGATTGCTTAGCAACAAAGATGTGCTGGCCCGCAGCACACGGGCCTTTACTGTACCAAGAGTGAACAGCAGGCGTCTGACCACAAAATCCAACCTGTTAGAATGAGAGAATCACTGAAATACACATGTTTGAATGAAATGTTTATTGATCGGTGGCCTGTGAGTCGATAGAGATGATGTTAAATTAAAGCTGTTTGGCCACAAAGTCTGAAGTCTGTCGTCTCCCTGTCATGTTATGATACAGACATCCTCTCACACACACACACACACACACACACATACACACTGTGAGCGTAGGATACCTTTTTTCTCTATAGCTAAAGATTCACCGTGTATTATTCTAATTTAAAGCATAAACCTTTGTGTTGGAATCTGGAATTATTTAGAATTATTTGTTCTCTTTGTTTGTAAATCTGTCTTCGTGAGGACAGAGTGGGAGAAGGGAGGTGATGCTCAAGCCTAACCGAAACCTTATCATAACCCTAAAACCAAGTCGTGACTCTCAAGCATCTCTCATCAACCATTGAAAGTGGGTCAGAAACCAAAAGGACCAAAATGTCCTCACTTTTCCCAGATTTCCTCTAGTTGATGGTTCAAAATGGTCCTCACTAAGATATCTGTACAAGTAAACACACACACACACACACACACACACACACAACCTTGTACTATCTTAGTGAGGACACTCATAATGCATCCCCTTATCCTGTATCCTAATCTTAACCGTTACCACTAAATGCCTGACATTAACCTAAACTAATTCTAACCCTAACCTTACAACAAACTCTTAACCCTCAAACAAGCTTTTGTAATTGTGAGGACAAGACAAAATGTCCTCGCAATGTAAAATAACCTCACAACGTCAAAACGTCCCCCAGTGATGGTATTAAACCAAAATTGGCCCTCATAACTATAGATAGACATGCACACACACACACACACACACACA